CGAACCCAGCTTTCGAATTCATTTAAAGAAGCGGTCCATGTAGTATCGTGATGCTTCAAGTGCATGTACTAACCGATAGACTACCAGGGGTTGCTTATATGCTACGAAAGACTACGACAGACCCTCTAATAGGAAAGAAAGTGGGCCGGGAAGTTGCGATTATTTCGAAGACAATCGGAGGCTGGACTGACTGCACGCAGAAAAGTGAGGCGATGGCTCAACGGATATTATCGGTAATATAAGTAAGTAACAGGAAGCAAAAAGCTGCCGTTTCGATACCTCTCCCTCGAATCCCAAGTGAGAATACCACAACTGATATTACCGGGAAGTCAGTATTCCAGACAGCGCCAAGTCAAGCTTGATGGCACCGAAAAAAGTACTTTCATAGTTTCTTAAAATAAACCTCAGGCTGAAGGGCAACAAAAACACTTTTTGCTAAGTTCTTTGACTGCAATCCCTTGCTGGGGGTTGAACCCAGCTTTCGCATAGTAGTTTCTCATTACATGAAGGAACCTGCTGTGATCGCTCACAGGATCGATCATAGCAGCCACCTTCATGAAAGAGAAGCTACTGTCAAGACCCGGCGTACTAACCGATATACTACCAGGGATTGTCATATGCTATGAAAAGTTGACCATTCTCCATAATGTACTAAGTAGTATATGGTACCAGGTCTATGACGTCCTCAGAGGCTTGAGTCCAAGGTCCTCTGCTTCTCCTGTTATCATACTTTGCACAAAATAAAATTTGATACTTACTTATTTGTAAGTAGTAAGTACATACTAACTGGAAAGCAGCCTAAATTGGCCTAAAGGCGGCTATTTACTAATAGCCCTGAATTGGCTTTGAAAAGTAGTAGTGGCATATCTATTACCAACATAGAAAGACCTGTTGGATTATGGGACCTGGATAATAGATATAAATAATCTGAGCCTAGGCAACAAAAATATAGAACATGATGGCAGCTGGTCAGCATATTTTCTTCTGACGTTGTATATCTATACCTTTTTGCTCAACATATGCATCAGATCAGATTTTAGTCGTCGAGATGTGGATGCTTTGGAGGCGCGCGGGCTTGATATTGAACAGAAGTGGATGGGCCTTAAGGCAAAGTTTGGTCACAGGTCCCCGGTTCCCAGCCCAGAAGCTGAAGGAATTCATCTCCTCAGATTACTAAATCAGGACTCTATTGAGTTATCATCCCAGCGTAGTGTAAGTGGTAAGTACTCAGTGCTCCACTGTGTTGTCGTGGTACTGGACACACGTTCAGTCAAACCTTCCACCACAACACTTGCATGTCTACATATCATCCGGTATAATTTGTTAAGAGTTGGCTCACGACCTGCCAGTCACAGCGTTGATTTGCCTTCATTGGGTACCGTTTCAACTGGCAAGTATACAACAACTCGAAGAATTAGGAGCCTGGTTGCGTATACGCTTCCTACTAATCTGATGATCTCAGTGCTTGCGCTTGTAGGACAACTCTGGCTTCGAAATCATCTCAAACATGATACATATGTCACTGAAGCTCCACGTGCACGCAAACCCGAATTCCAGGCCTCCCAAGACTGCTCATCCTCAAGCTTCAGTCAACCTTGAACCAACGTCGTTCCAGCGCTCATTTTAGGTTTCCCGCGATGATGTCCCTTCCGCTGGAGCTCATGCACAAGATCGGTAACGGGATGACTGCTCTCTCCAGCTGAAGCTCCGTGGCTCAGACACATCCTATACAGAGTCTCTGTCGGACTTGTGCTTTATTTGGCAAAGTCTTTCAGGCGCACGCTCTTGCGGAGGTTACGCTCAATATCCATTTGGGTAATCTGAATCTGAAGGCTGGGGTCAGAAGGCTGGGGTCAGCTTGTTGAAGGTGATCGAAAAAGACATGCGGGTCGGACCAGGTCGGACCTGGTTCTACGTACTACCCACACTGCAAAAAAAAAAAAAAAAGCACAGCTATACTTACATATGTACCACTTCTATTTTACGGAGCTTTGAATTCCGTATGATAATCAGCGCCAAGTTCCCAAGCTCCCATTCAATCCACATCCCCGGGCCCCCCTTAGCACTCTCTCGGCTCAGCTCTAGGCAGCTTTAGGCTCGGCTAGGACCCCGGACAATAGGCGCTGAGGACATCCATATGTTCGGATAAAAATGGTCCAAATTTTGGCCAAATCACATATTTTGGTTCGGATAAAAATGGCTGCCATAGGCGGAGGTGGTAAAGGAAGTTCGGATAACTTTGGCTAGTTTTGGGGCCGAGATTGCTCAAATTTTCGGATTTTTAGGGTGATTAAGGTGATTTTTAAGTGATTTTTACGCCCAAAGTGCATCAAATTGCGGCCAGCAACTCAAATCCACCCCATCCAGCGTGTTGCAAGAAAAAAAAACCGGTCCGGGCCCAGGCTATGTACGAGTTCGGATAAAAACTGGGTCAAAATCGAAAATTTGGTTCGGATAAAAACTGAGGTAAAAAAACAATGACCTCCCCGCCTATTGTCCGGGGTCCTGCTCGGGTCCGGTGGAGTCCTGTGCGTGTTTTGGCTGATTGCAAATCCAAGAAACAATATAAACGAGATCAACGGTCCTTCCCATCATCGAGCTGGTCTCTCATCTACATCTCCCCCAAGTTCTTGAAGCTGGTCTTTCCGAACACACAAAACTCTATTAAATTTCTATCGGCACAAGTTTATCATGAGGTTCTTCACACCATGCATGCTTGCCTTTGTCCTTCTCGCGGTTTCCCTCCAAGCCTACTCCGCTCCAGCTGGTAGCAGGGACAACTCTCCACTGTCCCAGTGCGTATGACTTTCTTGTATTGATGTGGTTTTGCTAACATATACCAGATACCTTGATCCAAGTCAACCTCGCACACCGGTTCCACCAGTAGCCCAGGGTCAATCCAGTGGACTCAAACGGCGAAAGGGTGGACACGGTCGTCAACGGGGTGGACGGGGTGGACGGGGTGGACGGGGTGGACAGGGTGGACGGGGCGGACGGGGCGGACGGGGTGGACAACGCACGCATCAAACTGGAGATAATCAAGGAAGCCTGCAGCAAGATCACCATGAAGACAACCAGCCAGTTTCCCAGGAGCCTGTGAACGGCAACCCAGTTTCCCAGAAACCTGTGGACGCAGTTCCCCTGGAACAAGCGCCTCCGCCGGGGAGGACTAGAGACAATATGAGAGGCGCCGGCTGTCATGGCTCCATCCAAAAAAGGCACGAAGTCGCCCTAAAGCACGCCGGCACTACTGAGGGTGCCACCGAATCCTCAGAGGAGTGCGTATTTTCTTCCTACGTTGTATATCTGCTATGTTTGCTAATTATACAGCAGACCGGCGCTCGAACGTCGAGACGTGAATGGCGCTTTGGATGCACGGGACCTTACAACGCACTGGAAGAAGTTCACGACAAAAGCCAAGGAAACCGGGGGAAAACTCGGGGACAAATTCAGGACCAAGTTTTACGCAAATTCAAAAACGCCCCAGGCAACGCCCCAGACAATGCCTGAGACCCAAGCTGCGGAGAACCAAGTTTCCGGGAGCCAACTTACTGAGAACCCTTCTGATGACCTCTCTGGACCTGATGCTCCTCTGGCATCCGGGTGCGTAACTCCTTCCGAGGTGGTATATCTGTGCCTTTTTGCTAAATATACAGCAGATCGGAGTTGTGTCGTCGTGACGTGGACGTAAGCTCCTTCTGAACATCCTTCATGAAGTGAGAGGACTGGAGATAATCGATAACGAGCTGCACTCCATTTTAGGTGTTTCTAAGAGTACCATACCGAATTGTAGTTGACTGAAGTGCAGAAGGAATTGATCTCCTCAGATTAAACCAGTCTTTCCTCCATTGAGTTATCAACCTAGCGTAGTGTAAGTGGTAAGTGGACGTCAGTTATGTGTCGTTCTGTGGACCAATCCATCTTGCTCTTGAAATTGAAAACCGGGGACGTCCGAGAAGGACATTGAAAGGGAATGACATGATTGTTACAAGAATAGCGGGGGTAGCAGTTCTAGTGATGAGCAGGACGGTCACGGTTCAAGTTGGAAGTTGGACATTGGACAGATGCAGTGGTTGAGCATGGAAAGAATGTGATGGGCAAGATTCGAGACAGGGCCACAGCGGCGGCATGAATATCGGTTTATGAGCGGGACGTAGGACGGTTGTGGTCGGACATTGGACAGACGCAGTGATGGGGTTCGTCAAGCATGGAAAGAGTGAAATGGGAAAGTTGCTAGTAGGTGCGTACTTAGGGATCCGCACCGTAACCGTATACGGTTACGGCCGTATAGTTTACGGTCACTTACGGTATACGGTAGGACCGTAACCGTAACCGTAAAGAGATCCAAAAAGCCTCTTACGGTTACGGTTACGGGTATTATACGGTAATTTTACGGTATACGGCCGTATAAAAATTACTAAGACCTAAAACTTGAACTTTGCGCATATATACTCGCTTTGAATACAAGCTCAAGAGTCTCATATTGATTCTGGTATAGTATCACCACACAAACGGTCTCTGCATTCAAACAGAGGACCACCTCAACAACAAGTATATTAATTCCCACAGTGATCTGATGTGGTGATGAAAGCTTATACCATTTTTCCTGACGTTGAGGGCTCGATTTCAGAAAGCAAGCAATTCTTTCCAATGGAAATACCATTGGTGGTATCCATATGGATAGAAAAGCAGTCAGATAACCTCCTTGCCGTTGTTGGCTCCTGGGTAATTTTACGGGCCGTATGGTACCCGTATACGGCCGTACATATACGGTCAGTATACGGTATACGGGAGTACCGTAACCGTAACCGTAAACTAGCTTTGCAAGCCTTATACGGTACGGTTACGGGTACCCGTAAAACCGTAACCGTAAACCGTATTATACGGTTACGGTGCGGATCCCTATGCGTACTGATTGGAGAGCAGCCTAAAGGCAGCTATTTATAGCCCTGAATTGACCCTGAAAAGTAAATTGGTTAGCAGTGAAACATGTCTACGGAATCCCCGGCTGGGAGTCGAACCCAGTTTTCGCATTGACAAATTGAAGGCTTTATTTGTTTCCTTGCCGTGTTATGATAGCTGCTTGTACTAACCGATATACTACCAGGGGGTTGATATATGCTATGAAATGTTGATGAAAAGACCATTCTCTTTCCCAGCTCTTTCCTACACTTTGCAGAGTGCACTGTGAGGTAAAATCTGATATTACTAGTTTGTAATTAAGAAGCAGATGGCTAACCCCCCTGCAAACTTAGTGCCATAAGAAACCGGAGCAGAAAAACCGTGACCTCCCGGATTGCCATGCATAATAAACAACGGTAACATGAGGGGCGCCAAAAATATAGAACAGACTTAGCTGGAGCAGCCGAATCCCATACACGACAATCTACACCCTGGCTGGGAGTCGAACCCAGCTTTCGCATTGACAAATTGAAGCCTTTGGTTCTACGCAGGATTGGCATGATAGCTGCATGTACTAACCGATGTACAACCAGGGCATTGCTATATGCTATGAAAGTTGATGAAAACACCATTCTCCCCAAGACTGTTTGAATGTGATGCAGGGTAACTGGTTCTATGAGTTCCTCAGAGGCTCAAGTCCAAGATCTCCCGCTTCTCCTCTTTCCCATACTTTGCATAAAATCAAATCTGATACACCGTATTATCAATTAGTTTTGCATAATAACCTGAGGGGAAACAAAAATATAGAACAAAGCCCCAACACCCCCTCGGACTTAGCTTCAAGTAACAAGTTACACCCTGGCTGGGAGTTGAACCCAGCTTTCGCGCTCACTTAAACTAAATAAGTACAAGCTATGGAAATGATAGCTGCGTGTACTAACCGATATACTATCAGGGTGTTGCTATATGGTACGAATGAATTGGTGATCACTGATCAGTTTGTCCCAATGGCATGCATAGATGATAGGAGTCGAGGCAAAGGTAAAGTTGTGAAAACACAAGTCATGATCAGTGACTACCAGTAAAGTTACTCCACAGCTTGGGTCTGTCTGAGATACAAGTTACACTGTACAGTTTAATGAACAATATCAGGCAAAAAGAACAAAAATTGAGGTCTTAACCTAAATCCACAACCTTATCTCCCTGGCTGGGAGTTGAACCCAGCTTTCGCGCGTTAATCAAATAATACCTGAGAGATCATTGTTGATTACAGCCTTAAAGGTGCATGTACTAACCGATGTACTACCAGGGAGTTATATTGACCAACAGGAACCATTGGTTCATTAGGACACGCTTTAATGATATATCTTTGATAAAGATTGAAGCATATCGATACTAGGTACAACTAGTAATACAAGCTTACTTCATGCTCTAAGAGCCACTAAGAACCCATGAGAGATGTTGATAAAAGTAGTGTCCCGGGCAATAACTGCCCTGAGCCTAAGGAGCAACAAAAACATATATTTTGTTCAACCCGAACCCCTGGCTAGGAGTCGAACCCGGCTTTCGCGTTCATGTAAATAGACTATTTCCTGTCCACTCTGGGCACGCGTACTAACCGATATACTACCAGGGGGGTTGATATACGCTGTGAACAATTGGTGATCAGTGATCATTTGACAGTTTGTGCCATGTGGTGCTTTTCCCAACGTAAGTACAGCAGTTGAAACTTGAGGCAAAAAGTTAAGGCTGTGATAAATAAATTTAAGGTGGCTAGAGTGAAGTTTGAATTTGAAGCATAATGTGAACTGTTAATTGAGCGAATATACTTCCACATTCTATGTCTGAGTGTCCGAGATACCAAGAATACTTTATAGTTTGAATGAACAATAAATAACCTGGCAAAAAAAAAAGAACCAACCTCTCTATAGCAAATCTCCCTGGCTGGGAGTCGAACCCAGCTTTCGCGCGGTCTCGTCGTTTGTCAGTCTTTGTAATGACAGGCGCGTGTACTAGCCGATATACTACCAGGGACATGTTATCATTAGCGTTTTCTATGCAGATCAACCTTTGAAACACGTACGTACTTCAAAAAAAGAAGTCGATAAACATCCGTCTTGCTCCTTGGCTTGAAAACCGTGGATGTCCGAGAATGACATTGAAATGAAACGACGTTGCAGGGATAGCAGGGGTAGCAGGGGTAGCAGCGCCAGTAATGAGTAGGACGGTTGTGATTGTGTGGTTGGAAGTGGGGTTCGCTGGGCATGGAAAGAGCGCAATGGGAAAGATTCGGGACAGGGCACCGCCGGCGGCATTCACAATGAAAGGAAGCTCCCGATTGCATGATCCTTGGATCCCTTTCAAATTACATTCCTTGGTTTACGAGTATGTCTTCATGGAGGACAATCCCTATGCAGTGGATGAAGAAGAAAGAAAGAAGCTGAAAGAAGGATGAACGACGACGCGACGATGTACCTGCGCAAATCAAGATTTGCTTTCGTAGTGTTTTTTTTTTCGGGAATGGTTGGGGAAATGGCGGCGTGGAATTCCCAGATTATTCGCAGATTATTGCCCTCGAGGGTACGTTGCATATGATGAGCTTCATCGAACACCTAGGGATGGCGAATGCGAACTTGAAAGCAGAGTAGGTAATTGTAGGTAAGTCGTAAGAAATGACTCCACTCACGCTGCTCCGATTCATCACTTGACGAGATCTTAGAGATTTTTTGGGTGAGAGGAAGGTGAAGGTGAACGTTTGAACCTTTGGGCGCTTGGTTTCTTACCTGCTCTGATCGAGATTATAACTTCTCGTAAGTAGTGATTCTCTCGTTTCCACAGACGCAACAAGTACTCCCCCGCCTCTCCCGCTAGGCCGTCCGCGTCGACGCTCTCCTCATGTCCAACAATTAGCAAAGCTCTTACAAAGCTCTTAGGAATTACCGCAGGGAGTACATCTTACGTCTCCGAGCCTCATCCGGCCTCTCAGTACCCTGGCCCACTACGATAACGAACGGGTCATCCAATCTCGAAAAATTGAACGTTACTTTTTTACAACTCCGCTGAAAAAACCACACCCGGAAAAGAAAAAAAAAACGATGATCACAGGAACAGAAACATGTATGTACTACGCTCCATCTCTCCTCACCGCTACCAGTTACCAGTTACCAGTTATTAGTTACTTCTCATTTACTTCTCGGCTACTTCTCATCCTTATACGGAACATACTCCTCAACCAACATCTTTGAGAACTCCCTCAGTTTCTCTGGGCCGCGGACTTCTTCGGTTAGGAGCGGGAGCTTGATGATGTGGAAAAAGTCGGCATAGAGTTCTGTGAGGGCGAGGGGAGATGGGGTAAGAGAGAGGAGGTGTAAGCGGAATACGAGGTGAAGGAGAGACAAAGAGGAGGGAAAGGAGGAGAGACGCACCATTCGCTTCAGCAAGGTATTTCTGCTGCATCTTCTGCCGCACAGAACAGTGTGTGCAATTTGAGTCTGCCAAAAAGCACAATTATCAGAAGTGTTAGACGACATTATGATATAGAGAGACAAAGAGAAACAAGGGGAGTACGCACCCTTCGCAGGCCAAACGAGCTGATTTACCACGATATTATGCGTATCGATCTCGTAGCTGGTGAGTTCCTGGATTAATCGTTCCGTTTCGTAGAGGGAGAGGAATTCGGAGATGCAGATGCATACGAATGTCGTTTTTTCCTGTTTTTTTGGGGGCCGTTAGTGCGAGATAGGGATGTTGCGGAGGAAATGGAAGAGGGATGGGAGAGGGGTGGAAGGGGAATGGAAGGGGAACGGGAGAGCGGGCATGAGCGTGGTGATACGAAAAGAAAAGCGTATAGAGAAAAAGGAAAGAAACTCACGGGATCTTTAAACTGGCCATTAACTTCCGTAATCACCTCTCTCATCGACTCGAGCTTCGCGAACATGTCTTCCTGGGAAGACGCATCGCCGCCCATCATCGAGGACATCTAATTGGACATCAATGGATGGAATAAGGAATGGACGAGCGAACGGATAGGATGGGATAAGGGAAGTGATAAAGGGATAAGCAAAGATCGAAGGCCAAAAGAACAACGAGAACCGGACCTGCCCAATCATGCCACCAAACCTCTCCCCTAGCACACTTAACTTGCCTAGCGCCTTTTCGAGAACGGTAGGGAAGGAGAGGAAACGGAGGGTGTGCCCTGTTGGTGCGGTGTCGAAGATTATTACCTGTGGAGGGTGTAAGGATCGATAGCGACAATATGTATATGGATGGATGGATGGATAGGATGTATGGACGGAGGACGGATGGATGGATGAATAGAGGGACGGAGATAAGGGAGACACGTAGGGAGACACGTACACTATATGTCATACTCTTGACATGCTTCATAATTTCCGCAAACGACATGGCTTCGTCGACACCTGGGATAGCGAACGCGAGGTCTTGCATCATTGAGCCCATCATTCCATTCGAGTCCGCTGTTGGAGAGGGAGAACAAAGTGAAGTGAGTAAGTGAGCGAAGCAAAGCGAGATGAAGTGAGCAAAGTGTAATGAATTGAAGAAAGTGCCAACGTGGAACATGGAGCGTAGACAATATGAAGCGTAGATAGATATCGAATTCGGATGTAGATTTTATAAGAGAATAAGAAAAGATAACACCAGTAACGCACATTGTTCCACCATCTCCTGAATCGAACTCGTCGGATCGATTTCCATAGCAGATAAATTGGTGAACCCATTGACGAGTGTCGCGTCTTTCGAGAACTTTTGCCCGAATGCGTCGGAGAGGTTGTGTGCGGGGTCGGTGGACTAGAGACAGGAATGGAAGAAACATGAACATGAGGAACAGCGGAGGTCAGGAGAGTTAAAAGCCAAGCGAGATTAAGATTGGGGAAAGACGAAAGATAACGTAGAGATACAGATAAAAAGCCAGAAAAACGGTCCTCATGTACTCACAATCAACAACACACTCTCCCTAACCCTCGCCAGCTGTATCGCAAGACTGCAACTCGTCGTCGTCTTTCCTACACCGCCTTTTCCCCCACAAAATATCCATTTCAGAGATTTTTGCTCGAGGACGTTGTTCAGCGTTGCGTCTAGCGGTTCGAAGTCATATGCTTCCTGTATTGTATCGATTGTATCATCCATTTCCATTGTTTGGATTTCGGTGTTGGATTTCGGTGCGAGTTCTTGTTAGGTGCTTTCGGCCTTTCAGATGGTGAAGAGTGAGGAGATGAGTATCGGATCAAACGCGTTAGCAAAAGACTCTGGGTACGAGATGCAAGCAAGGACGGTTCGAGATCCGAATTGCTCGTTCGGGTTTTAACAAGCAAACGCGTTGATAAAATAACACTAAGCGCTCGCCGCGTCACCGGATAGGCGCCCCCGATTGATCGCTACCCTTACGTAGCTCTTTTCGGGTTTGTTCCCGCTTGTTCCTGTAGATTCTCCCAGATTCTCCTGTGTTCTTGCAAGATCTTTGAATCTTTGAGAATGATGGTGGAATTTTTGGATTGTTTCCGATGTTTAGTGATGTTCACGCAGCTTCGTGGATGGTTAACTCGAAACTTCACAAAGAAGGTTTAGCTCGCGGGATTCATGATATATGCCCGGTACATCATACTTTTACAATTCCCTGGTAGTATATCGGCTAGTACACGCGCCTGTCATCAATCAGTCCCAGACAATGTGGGCTTCGCGCGAAAGCTGGGTTCGACTCCCAGCCAGGGAGTTAACTGGAAACTTCCTGGTTATTTTATCTTTCCTCCTGAATCTGATCATCAGATCTTCTTTTTTTTTTGCATCGAGGGACCGGTTGAGTACAACGACTTGCTGTTTTGTGACTTCAACTGTGATGTAGTTCATCAACTTTTATTTTGAGTTTCTCTAGTTCCTGCATTTGGATGTTTCTAGCAAGTTTTTTTTTGAGGTTTCTTTTTCATTCCAAAGGTTGGAACATTGAAGGCTCCCCCAATTCATGAAGATACTTACATGATACCTGATATATGCACCCCTTTTACTTCCCTGGTAGTATATCGGTTAATACACCTGTGCTCTTTGTCACTATTAACTAAAGTCAATGTTTATGTTGAAGTCTTCGCGTAAAAACTGGGTTCGACTCCCAGTCAGGGAGTCGTTGCACAGACAAAAAACCTCTTCAATGAATATTATGCTTGTTTTTATTTTGACTGAATCAGATCCCCAGGTCTTTTTCTTTGTGTTGAGGCCCGAGGGAAAGATTGAGAAACAACAACATCTTCAATCTTCAATCTTCAAGTGGTTAGGCCTCTAGATGTTGGATATCCTGCAGGCGTGGCTGAAGTGGGTGTCTTACACAAGTCATGAAGAGAGATCATTTTAATTTTCTTGGCCCTCTAGTGCCTGCATTTGAATGTTTCTAGCATGTTTTTGAGTTCTTTTTCATTTCAAAGCTTGAAGCTTGAAGGCTCAGAGGCTCCCTCAATTCATGAAAATACTTACATGATACCCAATACATGCATCTCTTTCACCTCCCTGGTAGTATATCGGTTAATACCCCCGCGTTCCTGTAATGGATAAGTTTAGGTCCTTTAGGTTTTCGCGCGAAAGCTGGGTTCGACTCCCAGCCAGGGAGCTGTATGTTCCCTGACCACTGGCAGTATGCTTGTTTTTTTTTTCGATTGGATAGATCCTCAGGTATTTTTTGTGCCGAGTAAAGATTGAGAACAACAATTTCTTCAATCTTCAAGTGGACCTTCAGGCCTTGGACATCTTGCAGCTGAAGTGGACTTGTGTATTTCATTTTTGAGTTTCTCTGTCTTTTCAACAATAAGGGGTTTCGGATTCTTTGGTGGCCGCCAACGTTTAATTGGAAGATACATACCCGGTACATACCTGACTTGTTAGTTCCTTGGTAGTGTATCGGTTAATACACACCCTTATCATCTGTGGCGATCATGCTTTTCATGTAAAGCTGAGAAAGCTGGGTTGGAATCCCCAGCCAGGGAGTGATAGTAGTGTTCAAATCTGTATTTTTGATTTTAACTTCCAGGTCTTTTTTTGTGCCAAGGAAAAGATTGAGAACAACAAAACTTCCTCTGATCAAGTGGTCAGGCCTTCAAAGCTTCAGGCTGCAGCTGGAGTGGAATCGTGACATGTGCCACATAGTTCATTTTCGAGTTTCTCTTTTTCAAAACTAGTGAAGATACATATATATAGTAGCTGTCATAGAAGTTCTATAGGCAGCTTCACATCAACTCCTGGCAGCTAGTGAAGTGGTTAGTACATGGATTCACCAGTGCTACCAGTCGGTGTGAACACTGATCGGGTTCAATGTTGGGTTCAATTCTCAACCTGGAAGCGTTAATTTAGGCGCTCGCTGATGGACATATAAAAGTACTGAGTGATGTAGTCAGTTCTAGGCTATCTTTTTCTTATTGCATGTTTTTTTGGTTACAGGACTATTGATAATGTAATAATGTACTATATTCAATAAACACAGCTGGTGATTGAAAATAAGTACTACTACCTACACTAGGCTACACAGCACAACTAAGGTTGATATAAGGTTGAACCTTCTACTAGATATTAGAGAATTTGCATTGAAGATCATCAGGATCTCCTGAGCATTTAAAATAGGTTACTAGGACTGACCTTGGGATTGACCACTTCTGGTATATACTGAATATCTCGGAATGGTCTGAATCCACTTGGGAGCCCCATGCCTGGAAGTGGTAGCCGTAGAACCATCTGATATATAAGTAGAGCGAGCTGGAATGTTTGGAGGATGTGAACACTAAGGAGTTTGATAGGAATTTTTTTGGCTCACCGGGATTGTATTCAAATTCCTCAATAATCTTATGATTAAATGGATTTTTGCGCCTCCGTAGAAGTACAATGTAGGCAAAAATCAACACAAAGAGGATGCCCACAACACCTCCAAGCACCCCACCAACGATTGCAACTTCATCTGATGGTGCGTTGCTATTTGTCACACTTGGCTTGGGTGTTACTGATGGGGACAAGGATGGGGACAAGGATGGGGGTTGAGGTGGGGGATGAGATGGGGGTTGAGATGGGGGTTGAGATGGGGGTTGAGATGGGGGCTGAGATGATGAGTTGGAGACCAGTGACTCATTGAAGGAAGGATAGTACAGAATATAGTCAAGCCACACATGAGATCCAAGATACTTGAGAGCGGTTATAACAAGGGTGTGATTCCCTGGGCTCAACAGAGGTGATGCATAAAATTGTGTTCGGTAGTTGTTTTGTTTATTCCCACTGAAGGAAAATTGAGATACCGGATGATCATCAACTTGATATGTAGATTTTGGGGACCCATCTATCATGCTAACCATTCCGTACACTTCAACACCAACCCCTAGGATATGAGCCAACATTCAATTAAGCAGCCATCTGGGCCAATATGCTACTACACACCACTGAAATGCACTGTAGCTGTGGCATCATCAGTCCCATTGGTGCCATGCGTTGTTCCTTTGCACTCAGACCCTGGGATTCCTCCTGTAGACCAGCCATCTGAGTAGATAATATCTGGGTCGTTGTCATCCACCAGGGTGTAAAAAGGCGACGTTAAGGGACAGGGGAATGCGGGACTATCCATTGGTAGTAAATCAAGGATTTTGTCCATGGTATATGTATACCATGGACAGCCAGGGCAATGCATAGCAATGATTCAAGGCTATTATTTCTGACCAACAAAACCATGGTTACTCTCACTGAGCAAGTTGCTTCCAGAGCTCAGCACAGAAACCAACAGATTCTTCCGATACAACTGTGCAGTGTGAGACTCAAGCGTTTTGATCAGTGCTTATGATTGCACTTTGTTATCGTTATACTGAGGCTTCACTGCCATGCTTTACTGGAAGCTATCATAAAGGAAATTATATTGAAGCATGGGGTGAAACGCATACTTGAAGAAAACTGATGCCAAAATCGGGGTATGAAGAGAAGTTAAGGAGAAAAAGAATCTCACAGGATCCTTGATACTTGAGTAATCAACTCCGTTGTCGACTCGAGTTTTGTAAACATATCTTCTTGGGAAGAGGCATCGCCACCCATCTGGATGTGGATGGTTTGAATGTGAGGGAAGGGAGAGCGAGGGGAGATAAAATAACAATTAACCATCCGCCTAACCATACCACCGTCCCCCCCTACACACTTCGAACGGATGTCCAATCATCCCACCACCCCCAATACACTTAGAACGGTATGGATAGGAAACGGAGGGTGTGAAGTTCTGTTGGTGCGGTGTCAAAGATTATCGATTATTACCCGCTGATAGTGAGTGTAATGTGCAAGGACCAAGTAGCGGTATGGATATGGATAGAGGGATGGAGGACGGAGATAAGGGCGACATGTACACTCTTGACATGCTTATAATCTCTGCAGACATGGGGTTACATGGCTTTGTCGCCTAGCGATCTGAGGTCTTGCATCATGGAACCCATCACTCCATTTGAGTCTGCTATAGTAGAGGGAGAGGGGGGGTAGTGAGTGAAGCAAAGTGTAATAAATTGAAGAAAGGGACTTGAACGTGGAGCATAGTGTAAGGATCTAGGCAGAATCCTTCGAACGTGGGTTACAAACCTGGAAACCAAAGTGCGGATACGCTCCATACTATGTTGTTCAGCCGAACTGGGAAAGTTGGTTTGAGATGTGAAAGGATGTGAGTGTAGAACGGTTCCAAAGTGCCTATGGGATGTAAGACTTGTGTCGGGATCGTCCAAGGGACTAATGTAAGGACGGCAGGTCTGTACAGGCGATAGAATGAACTCAGCAAGTAAGCCTAAGAGTAGATGAGTTTCCAACTCGAAGGGTAGGACCCACTAAGTGCAAGCGGCTTTGATAGCAATATGAGCAGAAGCGGAAGGTCAAGCAGTAGCTGACCTGATGCAGCGCAAACAGAGCAGAACCAAATAGATGATAGTAGATTGCAGAGGTTGTGAAAACAATGGAGTGAAGAAACAGAGTTAAAGAAACAGATAAAGCGAGAAACCGGAACACACAAGAGCACACGAGTCAAGGGGTTAAGCAATATTTCCAATCTGCCATACTTGACATGGTACAGAACTATATAAAGGGTACTCGAGGACCGGAGTAGCAATAGGTAATAATCTGAGAGTAGAAAAGACAAGAATAGCCAAAAGAAGTACAAGGGATGAAAGACAACAATGAACATAAGCAGAAGCAGCGGGATGAGCATGAAGCATATGTATGATTGTAAGAATGATGGAGAATGGATCGACGGGATCATAGAAAGTGTACAGTGAAGGAAAAAGTAAAACGGAAGCAAAGTGGAAGTGTATCGGAACCGGAAATGCGGCGGAAGCGGGTTATGTAATGGTAAGCAGGAAACATCGGCAGTCTGTATATGCCTAGGGCATGACATTACCCCCCCTTCAAGCTCCGAGCCCGCAAGGAGACACTAGGCCCAGCATGTAAGTAGTTGAAAACATAAATAAAACATTTAAGGACATAGATGGCAGGCGCCAACGGAAAAGATAAAATTTGTCGGAACCAAAAGTTGAACAGAAAATATAGACAAATAGATGAAATACTCAACGGCGGGTGTTATCCCGGGTCCCAGGAAATTTGCACATCATCCTGTGGTGTGAGATCAAGTTCTCTGTTAGCAAAATCATCCATTGTTGATATCGGCGGATTGACATAGTCAAGTTGGAAGTCATTTTCGGAATCTAAGGGTGGCTCCAAGTCATTGGATACATTCATCCGACTCCTAATCTGCTGATTCCATGCCGCATCCAAGTCCTGGTAGCGGCGTGTCCATTCCGAGAGTGTCTGACGGCGGCCAGGTTGCGCTGAAATATTAAGATCTAACCATGGTACTACCGCCTTCCGAAGTCGATTGATCAGTGCGGGTTCATTATATTCAGTTCGGAATGCAAGTTCCTCAAACTGAATTATAAATGCTGCAAAATCTTCTCCCTCCTCCTGGTGGATGTCATCCAACTGTGACTGAGCATCTATAGTCGGATTAAATATTCCAAACCGAACCTGGAACTCCTGTATGAATGAATTCCACTCGTGTAGTGCGGAAACATCCTCTCCTCGGGATTGCTCCATCTGTACCAGATTGTCGTAATGAGAACTGGCGCTACCTCGTAAAAAGGAGCAAGCATATGCAACATGACTCTGCGGAACCTCGTAGATTGTTGGCTTTGCCTTGAAGATCCTTTTCAAGGATGAGATCCATGGCAGCCAAGCATCCTTCGACTCCCCCGTAAAGCACTCTGGTTCCGCCGTGTCGAGTTTTGACTCCAATAAAAGTCGGAATCGGCGGTCATCTGCAGCTGAGGTATCTGTGTTAATTGAGTTCCAATTACCTCCCATTAAGTTCTGCTGCTGAATTGCAAAGGGAATCCAGTCATTTGGTGGGTAGAATATATATGCCGCTCCAGGTTGGCCAAGTGGTGGTGCAAAAGTTGGATGGGGATGGGATAGTCCTGGTGGGTCGGGATACCCGTCGCGTCGAGATCCTGCATTTCCGAAGCCGTTTCCATTACCTAAGTCATCCGTCAATGGCCCGGAAGTTTCCATAGCCAAACCAGTATTTTGTTCTCCCTCCATCCCGCCGGGTCTCCTGGGAGCTCC